ATACATAAATTGTTATCGCATAAAGTGTATATTATCAGTATGTTATTTGCTATCAATTGTTATTGTTTGAAATATCATGAATTGATTCATAATAAATTGTATTTTTTGTAGAAAATATAAAAAATGTTCGATTAATTTGTTTTGTGATTTTGATTAAAAAAACGACTTTTTTGATAATTTTCATTTCTTTTTATCGTTTTCATATAACCCATAGTTAGTCAAGTGGTAAATCAGAAAATAGAAATAGATTTTTTTATGTTAAAATCAACTTTAAGAACCATCTATTTAAAAATTTATAAATAGCATTTTCAATAAAATCATGTATTTTAAAATATAACTGTTAGATCTTAGGCAAAAAATCTAAATTGAAAGAAATTATGTTTAAGATATTTACCATCCTCAGAAAAATTAACAATCCTCATGAATCCCTTTATTTTACTAGCAATAACAGAGACAACATTAAAATTGTCTTACAGCATTAAATAATCGAATACTTGGTTTTAAATTTATTTTTCTTTATAATTTAGGTTTTTGACTATTTAAAATAATTTTATTCTTTGAATTTTTAAATGACATTGAACAAAATTTAATTTATCCAAAATTCGGGAAATTTCGAGTTTATTAACTATTTTCAAAATTTTAAAGATTATATTATTTGCATAACATTACACAAGCCAAAAAAGTAAAATCATCAGAAATTGAATTAATATCCTAGCAAAAACAGGTCAATTAAAAACAAGGAAGTTATTTAATTAGTTAATACAATTTTATACACATTTTTATTGTTATTTATTATTATCGTTTTAGGGGAGAGTTTAATACTAAAATACGAATTTACGACAATTTTTGATGGTTTTCAATAAAATAAAAAACTAATAAAAAATTTCATAAATTATTTTTTGAATACCACAATAAGAACAATAACTATGATTATTATAATAATCAAAGTTATGACGATCCCAACAGCAATTCCTATTATTGTCCATTTTCTACTTTCACACCGCATTTGCCGAATATGTTTAGCTGTGTCGCTTGCGTTTTGCACACTCTGACCGACTTGCTCTGTTGTTTTCTTAATTTGTTCGACATCTTCTGTTTGTTTTTTAACGTTTTGATTTTCTATTGTTGCCATTTTATACCCATTTAGTGCCGTGATATTTAATGTGTTGGCAGTGTCGTTTTCGTCTTTCACGAGCATATCCTTTGTGTCTTTACGCACAAATTCTTTATGTTAATTCAATAAAAAACAATTAAAAATTACAAAAGATTTTTAATTGAGAACAAATTTTTATTCAAATAAGTAGTATCAAATTAACAATGATAACTTTCATTTTTATTATTTTATTCATAATTTTAAAATTATATTTTGTTTAAAAATTCTTTTTATATGTTATTTACATTCATATCTAAATTGAAAAGTATTAAAGTGAATATGCACATACAAACCTTCATTTGCATCAAATTCCATTTCGGCCATTTGTTGTTTTCAAGTTCAAATACAACGATATTCAGTTATAAAAGTTGCATTACTATTATTTTTATTTTATTAATTCGTGTTTTTTTCTACACAGTGTGTAATTCGTCATTTTAAAAAAAATTGTTTAAATTGAAACTGGCATTTTTATTAAATTCTAATTTGCAATTTAAATTGTTTTAAAATACACAATATATATTATTGTTTTTATTCGTGTAGTTACAAAATGACATATGAATTGTAATAATTTCTTATTAATAAATCATAATAAGTTACAATATATCACTGTTAACAGATATCATATAAATTATATTGATTTTATTAATAATATATTATTTCATGAGAAGATTTTTATTGACTAAAAATAAAGTGGCTTTGTTTTTCGAATTATTTTAATGAAAATCATTAATAAAATAAATATTAATAATAGGAAACTATAATAATCACTTGTTTAATATATTTTGATATATGTTTTACTTAAGCATTAATATAATGTTGATTATTTGTTTCGATGTTATTTGATAAAATAAAATATATCAACTTAAAACAAAAATATTATGGCAAAATCAGAATATAAAGATACAATTTAATAATTCAAATGTATTTAATTAGAAATAATTGTAGTTAATAAATAAATAATTAAACATATTAATTAAATTTATAACACATTAAAAGTGTATAATAATTCGAAAGCAGACTTGTAAATTTTTACACATTTTAGCAACACACAAAAAATATTTTTCTTTATTTAATGTAATAATTATATAATAAAAATACATATTTTATTTTACTTCAATTATAGTTTTGATTATTATAAATTATTATATAAATTAATATTTGTAGTTTTCGAAAACTTAAATAAAACCGAGTAAAAATAAATTAACTACCCATATAAACTACACCTTACATTTGTAAAATTTCTTATAAATTTTGTTCATAAGCAAATTTTCGTTTAAAACAAGTAAGTTAAAAACACGATTTTGTTTTTAGGTTTTCTTGTTTACAAACAAAAAACAGTAAAATATAATATATGTCTGCTGAGTCGCGGCACAGAGAAAAATTGCGATGTATTGGGGAGCGTACTTTATTAACAAACTTGGAATGTTCACTTCTTGCGTTTATATCTACCAAAGCCGATGTTGTTTTATCACGACCCAAAAAAGTCGGTCAATTCTCTCATGAATTTTTAAGTGTTTTTACTATTACTTTTTTAGAAGAAAATACGCCGTTTACGTTCGAAGTTCCTTCTTTTCTGAAACGAAAAAAAACCGAAAAACTTGTTGAATTGAACAAAGAAGGGAAGAAAGGTAAGAAAGGATTTAGACAAGTTCAGAACCAAAAGAAAAGAGAAGTGATACATTTATTAGAGGATATTTTATTTGAAGACGGGTTTCTGGTGTTTTATGATAACGAAAATCGAGAAGGTATAAGAGGCAATGTAATTATTCAAATGCCTAATGGGCAAATAATTCAAAAGGAAATGATTATTAAATTGGGTGAGGCTATATGGACGTATTGCTCGAATAAATTCAATGAAGAACAAAGGTCCGTTTTGATTAAAGAAAAGGTCACGTTTTCAAAAGAAAAAGTGATGAGTATTATCAGTGAAAATGTAAAATAAGTGTATTAGAAGTAATTTGTGTATTTCAGGTGTAGTTTTTAATTTGATTTTTTGTTATTTAAAGTTATTTTAAGAATAAAAAAACGTTCTATATATAAGTTTGATTTTGATAAATCATACAAATGACAATTTAAATAACAAAAATAATTTAATTTTTAATTATATAACAATTAAATGATCGAATTATGTTATTTGATAATATATATTAAGTAATTAGTTGTTTAATTTATTAGAATTGTTAGGTTCATATATTACACATAAAAATATTATTTTCATTTTATTAGTTACTTTTTAATGTTAAAGGGTTTCTTGAGGATAAGGTGTATCCTCAGGATCAAAGCTATCCTTATTAAAAAATATTTTTTTGAGGATACAAAAAACAAATCCATAAGGTTCAGTTCCCCATAAGGCCCACTTTCATACCCCAAGTTATAATTTACACTTAATATTTTGAGTCAAAGTTCAATTTTTAAATAATGGTAATAATTTGTCATAAATGCCAAAAAATTAAATACAATCAAAAAATCGTTACGATAATCAGTAAACAAAAACAATAATTATATCTCGCTTACTTGATACGGGAAATAACAAATTGTGTATTCAACTTGTTCATATTATGATTATATACTTATTGAAATTATTTCCGAATCCGTCTTTATAACATAATAATTGAAATTTACGTTTAAATTGATAATTGTTTTTTTATCAAAATGAAAATTGAAAAAGTCGAAAACACTGATTTAATAATAATGCATTTTTAAAAAAACAAATTTATAAATATTTTTGTAATTTATGCAATTATTCAAATTTATTGTAATAACAAAGTTAATCATATTGTGTATAATTTAATATGATTGTTTCATTTTGATATTAATTTGTGTTTTAAACAGATTTACAGTTCTGAGGATGGCAATTATTTTCTGAGGATGACAGAAATAGAAAGTTTACACTTTTACATCTGTCTGAAATGTATATTGAGTAAGTTACTATTTTTGAATATGGGAACACGTCATTTCACTTTTTAGATGTTTAAGTCTGTGTTGATAAAGTCTGTTGTACACGACTA